TTATAGTTTCAGTTTCAATTTAAAATACAGCAAATATCAATAGATGTAAACCACAGAAATAAAATCTCTTTGGGGTCCTCAGGAATTATCTACTGAGGCCTGTTGGAGGGCAGGCCACACATGCATATAACTCAGTGGTTCCGAATTTGCACTCCAGCGCCAATGGGAACCCAGAGGTATTTTTTCATTTGATGCAGACACTTTAGCCCTTTTAGTGTTGAATCGTTTTGAATGAGTTTTTTCTATTTACAAATTGGCAGGTTTTATGTGAAATATCACATTTTTCAATGGTCTTGAAAAACTGAACGGTCTGGCTGCACTGGGGCCATGGTCCTGCCTGGCCCCTGGAGCTGGGTGGAACAGCCCTCCTCTGCACACTTGCCTTCCAGTTTTCCTCCATCCTCACCACACCCCTTTCTTTATATCCCTCCCTTTAAACCTGTTCCTCCTCAGTTGTTCATATGGTGTCTCGGCTCCTGGAAGCATCTGTGTTTGAAATGTCTCATCTATGTGGTCTCCTTGGTAGCAAGAAGCTGGGAAGACCTAGGTGTGTCTCGAGACTCTTCCACTGCTCCCAGCGGGATGTTATACATCACGAGATGCCAAAAGCCCACGAAAAGAAGATGAGATCACCAGATGAGACAGAGGTTTCTGAAACGGAGGCAAAGTCCATATTTTAAGGCTCATTCCCTCAAATATCTTAATAATCTGCTGCTGAATATGGCAAGTAGATGGGTAAGGTGCCAGGAGGGTAGCTGAAATGGGAATTATAAAATGAGTTTGTGCTCAAGAGCTAGAGTATCTGGTTCAAATCCTGGCTATGTCTTTTTTTTTTTTTTTTTTTGCGGTACGCGGGCCTCTCACTGTTGTGGCCTCTCCCGTTGCGGAGCACAGGCTCCGGATGCGCAGGCTCAGCGGCCATGGCTCACGGGCCCAGCCACTCCGCGGCATGTGGGATCTTCCCGGACCGGGGCACGAACCTGTGTCCCCTGCATCGGCAGGCGGACTCTCAACCACTGCGCCACCAGGGAAGCCCCCTGGCTATGTCTTTTGATAGCTGTATGACCTTGGGTTAGTCACCCAAACTCTGTGTGTTTAAGTTCCTTATCTGCAAAATGAGACATAATACTATCTACTTTCTGGGGCTGTTGTGAGAATTAAATGAGGTAGCCTGTGACAAGCACTTAGAACAGTGGCTGGTACAATGACTGTTAGTTATTATTTTTATTAGTCTTTTGAGCTGGGCTTGAGTCTGGCCATGAAAACGGAAGTCGGCTGCCTTAAGGTTCTGACAGAAAACCTGGACTCTGTCCTTAGCACCCTATCTCCCAGACCCCAGGCATCCTGGCATGAATGTAGTGGATCCCAACAGATATTTGAGAATGACATGGTGTCTCATTTTGATTGACAGCCACAGCCACTCAATCCACACCTGTTAAATCTACAGTGGATTTGGCAGGAGACCTAAATAGGCATTTCTCCAAGGAAGACACGAATATCGCCAACAGGCACATGAAAAAATGCACAACATCACTAATCATTAGAGAAATGCAAATCAAAACTACAATGAGGTATCACCTCATTCTGGTCAGAATGGCTATCATCAAAAAGTCTACAAACAATAAATGCTGGAGAGGATGTGGAGAAAAGATGAACCCTCCTACACTGTTGGTGGGAATGGAAATTGGTGCAGCCACTATGGAGAACAGTGTGGAGGTTTCTCAATAAACTACAAATAGAATTACCATATGATCCAACAATCCCACTCCTGGGCATATATCCAGAGAAAACCATTAAAAGATACATACACACCAATTTCATTGCAGCACTGTTTATGATAGCCAAATCATGGAAGCAACCTAAGTGTCCATCAACAGACGAATGGATAAAGAAGATGTGGTACATATATACACAATGGAATATTACTCAGCCATAGAAAGGAATGAAATAATGCCATTTTCAGCAACACGGATGGACCTAGAGATTATCATACTAAGTAAAGTAAGCCAGACAAAGAGAAATATCATATGATATCGCTTATATGTGGAATCTAAAATATGATACAAATGAACTTATTTACAAAACGCAAATAGACTCACAGACATAGAAAACAAACTTCTGGTCACCAAAGGGAAAAGGGGGGCATGGAGGGATAAATTAGGAGGTTGGGATTAACAGATACACACTATTATATATAAAATAAACATGTTCTTGGATTGGAAGAATCAACATTGTGAAAATGACTCTACTACCCAAAGCAATCTACAGATTCAATGCAATCCCTATCAAACTACCAATGGCATTTTTCACAGAACTAGAACAAAAAATTTCACAATTTGTATGGAAACACAAAATACCCCGAATAGCCAAAGCAATCTTGAGAACAAAAAATGGAGCTGGAGGAATCAGGCTCCCTGACTTCAGACTATACTACAAAGCTACAGTAGTCAAGACAGTATGGTACTGGCACAAAAACAAAAATATAGATAAATGGAATAAGATAGAAAACCAAGAGATAAACCCATGCACATATGGTCACCTTATCTTTGATAAAGGAGGCAGGAATATACAGTGGAGAAAGGACAGCGTCTTCAATAAGTGGTGCTGGGAAAACTGGACAGGTACATGTAAAAGTATGAGATTAGAACACTCCCTAACACCATACACAAAAATAAGCTCAAAATGGATTAAAGACCTAAATGTAAGGCCAGAAACTATCAAACTCTTAGAGGAAAACATAGGCAGAACACTCTACGACATAAATCACACAATATCCTTTTCAACCCACCTCCTAGAGAAATGGAAATAAAAACAAAAATAAACAAATGGGACCTAATGAAACTTAACAGCTTTTGCACAGCAAAGGAAATCATAAACAAGACCAAAAGACAACCCTCAGAATGGGAGAAAATATTTGCAAATGAAGCAACTGACAAAGGGTTAATCTCCAAAATCTACAAGCAGCTCATGCAGCTCAATAACAAAAAATCAAACAACCCAATCCAAAAATGGGCAGAACACCTAAATAGACATTTCTCTGAAGAAGATAAACAGATTACCAACAAACACATGAAAGAATGCTCAACATCATTAATCATTAGAGAAATGCAAATCAAAACTACAATGAGATGTCATCTCACACTGGTCAGAATGGCCATCATCAAAAAATCTAGAAACAATAAATGCTGGAGAGGGGGTGGAGAAAAGGGAACACTCTTGCATTGCTGGTGGGAATGTGAATTGGTACAGCCACTATGGAGAACAGTATGGATATTCCTTAAAAAACTAAAAATAGAACTACCATATGACCCAGCAATCCCACTACTGGGCATATACCTTGAGAAAACCATAATTCAAAAAGAGTCATGTACCAAAATGTTCATTGCAGCTCTATTTACAATAGCTAGGAGATGGAAGCAACCTAAGTGTCCATCATCGGATGAATGGATAAAGAAGATGTGGCACATATATACAATGGAATATTACTCAGCCATAAAAAGAAACAAAATTGAGTAATTTGTAGTGAGGTGGATGGACCTAGAGTCTGTCATACAGAGTGAAGTAAGTCAGAAAGAGAAAGACAAATACCGTATACTAACACATATATATGGAACCTAAGGGAAAAAAAAATGTCATGAAGGACCTATGGGTAAGATGGGAATAAAGACACAGACCTACTAGAGAATGGACTTGAGGATATGGGGAGAGGGAAGGGTAAGCTGTGACAAAGTGAGAGATTGGCATGTACATATATACACTACCAAACATAAAATAGATAGCTAGTGGGGAGCAGCCGCATAGCACAGGGATATCAGCTCAGTGCTTTGTGACCACCTAGAGGGGTGGGATAGGGAGGGTGGGAGGGAGGGAGACGCAAGAGGGAAGAGATATGGGAACATATGTATATGTATAACTGATTCACTTTGTTATAAAGCAGAAACTAACACACCATTGTAAAGCAATTATACTCCAATAAATATGTAAAAAAAAAAAATAAAATAAAATAGATAACCAACAAGTACCTACTGTACAGCACAGGGGACTATATTCAATTTCCTGTAATAAACCATAATGGAAAAGAACATGAAAAAGGATATGTGTGTGTATATATATATATATATATATATATTTATATATATATATATATAAAACTCAAACACTTTGCTGTACACCTAAAACTACCACAACATTGTAAATCAACTATACTTCAATAAAAATGTTAAAAAAATTTTAAAAATCTACAGTGGATTTGATGTTGATCATGAAGCACATTAACAAGTCCATTCATTTGTTCTTTCATGCATTCACTTATTTGAGTAGTATTCCATTTATTCATTAAGCATCTATCTATTGAATAGTTATCTATTCATTACACATCTTGCTTACTATGTTCCTGGCACATAGACATTGAAGCTCATGTCCTTGTTTTGGGTTAGAAACAACCACCAGCTATTTCTGGCGAACAGGGTCTAAGTATTTTAATTCCTTGTCTGTTAAAAACCATGATCCACATGTTTCTATGGGACTGTGAAAGAGCTATTCCTAACCTGAGGCCAAGTCACTTACATGAACACTGTTCAGAAATTGCCTTGAAAAGAGAAACAAGACTATAAGTCTTAGAAAAAATTCCGTTAAGTACCAAATTTATTCATAAAATACATGGCTATTTGCTGTGGACAAGTTTCCACTGTCATGGGTCTATCGAAGACACTTTGAGGTCATTCCTAGGGAGTGACATAAACATGGGGCCTGAACTGGCATCATCTGGGACTCAGAGCTCTAGGATCTTGGGCCCATGCACACCTATTGCATCACGGTCAAAATTTAAACAAGATTCTCTGGTGATTTGTATACACAGGGAAGTCTGAGAGGTGCTGGATTGGGTGCCCCAGACCCACTTCAGGAAGACCACCTCTAGGTGGATAAGCCCCTTTTTCAGTGGAGGGACCATTCTCAGCAGGGAGGAATTATGGACGACAACTGCAAAAACAGCATGGTTTTTTTTTTTTATTTTAAACATGCAAAATACAGTCCATGCATCTGCCATTTTAAAAAGTCTCTCATCCTGTAGCAGATAAAACCAAATATGTTTTGGCTATCAACGTTCAAGAAATGTTTCAAAATGCTTTACAGTGTAAAGATAATAAGAAATTTAGCAAAATTTCAACAAACCTGTATAAAAAACAGATACAGATAACATTTTATATCAAGGCGACATGCTGTAATGTAAAGAGTAAGTTATAATTATCTGTGTTTCTTTGTAAAAAGTCTTTAACAATACAAGGGCTTAGCAGATCCAGGCCTCAGGGCTACACATGCAAAAAAAATTGTTAGTTAAAAATCACCAAAACGTGCTATTTTTATATGTGTACCTTTGTGTCTTTTTAAGTACAGGATAATAGAAGTATTAAGTATCAGCAGGAATAGTATTCAAGGACTCTGTAAAAGTGTGTAGACTTCATGGAGCCAGTGTCCGGGAAGAGTCATACATTTCTGATGAACATTTTGGCTTAATCCCTTTGCCATTGTAATAGTCCACGACTTGGTTTGGGACTTCAGCCAACACGCTCTTTGCCAGGGCAGCTGGAGATGCCTGCAGGGAAGAAGAAATCACAGTGACTTTGGCGCCCGGCCAAGGGAATCTGACCCAAATCAGCCTAAAAGACTTGAGTCCTGCTCTAAGCAGCTGGTCCCATTCATTCATTCATTCATCATTCATTCTGTACTTGTCAGCGTCTACTCCAAGCAAGAGTTGTCAGATTGTTGGAAAATGAACCTTTAATTTCATAATTACATTTTTTCATGTCTGTCTCAAAATATAAAACTATTCACATCTGAGGATGGGTGAACTGGATGGCAGAAAGAACTGCCTTGCAGTTTTGTCTCTGATTTACATTCAAATCCATACACCTATTTATGTTCCAGGCACTATGCGAGCGTTTATAGGGTCTATGATTCTTGCCATTAGGAAGTTACAGTCATGTGAGGGGAGCATGGTGGGGCCGAAATTAACCCTCCTATGAGGCAGAACATGAAACATCCCACAGACCAGCAGATCACATCAATGGGAGCTTGTTAGAAATGTAAAATCTTAGACCCATCCCAGAGCTAATGAATCAGAATCTGCATTTTAACATGATGTCTAGGTGATTCCTGTGCATATTGAAATTTGAGAAGCACTGCTCTAGGGAGTCACAGACACTGTGTGACCAGAGCACAAAAAACCAAAACTAAGGCATCTTGGAGGAAATCACAGCAGGCTTCCAAGAAGAGATGGCATTTACATTGGGTATATTTTAAAACAGGGAGAAGGAGAGGATTGGCATTTGATCATTCTAGGGACAGTGAGTCATCTGATGGGGCTCTAAAGGAAGTGCATGTGTGTGTGTGTGTGTGTGTGTGTGTGTGTGTGTGTTGGGGATGCAGGATTGGTGGGGCATTCAGTTGGAAAATGAGCTTGTGGCCAGGTGATGGAGAGTCTTGAATACTGTGCTAATTTATGTAGCCTTTCTTATATCAGCATTATGGACTCACTGCAGGCCTTGGGGCAGAGAAAGGTAGAGGTTGATATTCTGCATGGACTCTGGACTCATGCAGAGCTGGGCCTGACCTCTGACCCTGGCACTCACTACTAACTCCCCAGCCACTGGGCAAATAAGATTGCCTGAACCTCATTGTTAGCAATTACTGAAGAGGTTGAAAATTTGAAGCAGAGAGAAATGTTTGAGGTCCCTCTGGAAAAGTCCTGAAGGAAAGGGGGCTGGACTAAATGCCAGATGACCAGGTTTCTAGCTCTTTCCTTCCTATGTGGCTTGTCACTCAGCCATTCAACTTTGCTAAGCCCCGATATTCTGAGACAAGAAAGGAAAGAACAGGAATTCATTCTATCTCAGAGTTTTTAGGAGGCTCAAAATGTAAGAGACACGTACCTTAAAAACAATCTGAAAACACAGTGTTTCTAAAGCGACTGCTCACATTTTGAAGGTGCCATAGTATGTTGGACATTGGTATCCATGAATGCTCTTTTATTTTATAAATAACTGCTCAGGGTCATGTGTTAGATCGTGGCCCACTTTTACACTGGGGAAGACACAATAGTCATTTCCTCCCTTTTCTCTCTGGTCATTGCTCACACGAAGTTTAGAAAGATAAAGACTTGACTTCCCAGTCTCCCTGGCATCTAGGGATGGCCATGTGATCCAATTTCATTGTTTGAGACCCAAGTGGGAGTTTCCTGGGGGGTGTTTCTTGGAGCTCTTTAACAGACATCACTGGCTCTGTTTCTCTTTCTTCTTCCTTTTTTCCTTGAACTAGAATATGATTCCTAGAGCTATGGCAACCATTTTATCATTGTGAGGGAATAACAAAAAGAATCTCCTAAGTGCTGGTCCTGACACTATTGAATCATTGAAAAAAACTAATGTCAGCAGCCACCAGCCCCTAACATCTAGCTACACGAGAAAAGTATATTTGTACTTATATAATCCAGGGTTTCTCAATTTTGGCACTATTGCTATTTTGATATATTGGATATATTTGATAATTCTTTGTGTGGGGACTGCCCTCTGCATCATAGGATGCTTACTAGCATCCCTGGCCTTTACCCACTGGATGCAAGTAGCCATCAAAAATGTCTCCAGACATTGCCAAATGTCCCCTGGGGAGAAAAATCATCCTTGGTTAAGAACCACTCATGTAATCCACTGTGAGATGGATTTGCTGTTATTTGAAGACAAAAATATTCCTGAACAGTGTGTCAGGCAGAACTTGCTCAGATGATAAAAGTATTCTGTAGTTACACTGTCCAATGTGGTAGTCACCAGACACGTGCTGTCACTGAGCCCTTGCAATGTAGTTAGTGTGACTAAAAGCTGATTTTTAAATTTAATTTTAATGAATTTAAATTTAAATAACAACATGTGGCTCTTTGCTACTGTGTTGGACAGCACAGTTCCCAATGATACTCCCGCCCTTTGCATATCTGTGCTGGTGGTTCTGGGGAGCAGAGAGGGCCTGGAGGTCCATTAACTTGGGATAAGACAGAAAAAATATGAAAGTAGCTGGCAAGAATAGTAATAAAAGTCACATTTATTAACTACCTACAGGCCCCAGGCGCTGTGCTGAGCGTTATATAAGCTCCACCTCTAATCTTCCAATGTGTGTGTTATTTGCCCCGTTTTACAGATGAAAGTCTATGACACAGAGAGGTTAAGTAACTTGCCCCAAGCCACACAGCTCAGAGCCTCTGCCCTGTCCGAAGCTCTGAGTTACCATGCAGAGCAGAAAAAGAGAGACGATTCATGGGTTCCTGGCTATATGAAATGATATCAGTGCCTCACCTTGAGTTTTATTTATGGTTTATTGAATTCAGAATAGATTAGTTTGGATAATGAAATGGTTCTCAGAATCTAATTTGAAATTCAGGAAGCTAAGGCGGGTGCTAAACTCCTGGTACTCTGCTCTAGTGGACCACAGGGAGCTGGGAGCCTGGAGCAGCGGGGCAGTGAGTGCGCCCCCTTCCTCGCCCTGATCAGGCACTTCCTTGTTGCGGGTGCCCCTCACCTCCCTGCCCACTCCACAAGGTCTGTCCTCCTTATGTCCCAGCTCCAGCCGCTTCTCTGAAGTTTTGTAGCCACAGGGTGGCCCACCTCAATCGCCCACAGATCGCTTGGTGTGAGTTTCCTGCGGATACCTGTGTCCCAACCGGGCAGTTCTCCAGTAAATTCCTGGAGGCTGGGCCCCATGGCTCCTCCTCTCACTGTGGTGCCAGTGCTAGCACACAGCAGGCACTCTGCGGGTATGTGAGGGAGAGCAGGGGTGGGGTGGAGGCTGCAACAGTGCATGGCCCCGTGGCATGTGTGTGTGTGTGTGTGTGTGTGTGTGTGTGTGTCTGTAGGGGGCGGGGAGAGGGTGGTTTGGAGAAGCTCTTGGACCCCTCTTCACTCAGGCAACGCTGTGGGTGGTGGTCAGTCCTGTGGTACTTCTGTCAAGCTGACAAGACGGGGCGGGACATCACAGTCTAGAAGAACACCTTCCCCCCATCTTGGGCACCATGTGAGCAAGTGGTTTCAATGATGAACACAACTGTGGGCGATTCAGCTCCAGCACACCCCAACTTGAAGAGGATGCCCCACCTTGCTGTCTTGTGCAGACAACTTGGGGGCTTGGAAACCTCCCCTTGGGTAAGTTGAAGATGGGCTACAGTAGCAGAGTTGCCCTCTGTGAGTCACCCAGGCTCACTGCCCACACACTTGTGGGAGCTTTCACTGGGGCATGGAACAAAAGAACACAGGGGGCTGTCTGTGACACAGTGGGGGAGGCTCTGCAGGGCTCTTCAGGGCCACAGCCATCCCAGAGGGAAACTGTATGAATCAGAAAAGTTTTTTTTTTTTAAACCCTGTGGGTCATGAACCAGTTTTGATTCTGCCTTAGCAAACTTATTCCAGCATTTTCCCCTATTGACCACAAACAACTGTTTAATATCATCCTTTAAACTAACTTTATTATCTTGCTGTTTCCCTCATTAATGAATTGAATAAATCTTTGATGCTGCTTACTGTACATTTATACAGGATTTAAGTTTCTATCATTTTGAAAATATACTTTGCCAAGGCAAACACAGACCTCTGCCAGGGCACATGGCTTGACAAGGAGAACCAAGGCCGAATTTCAGCTCTTTGCTACTTCAGCCAGGCAACCTTGAGCAGGGAACAACCTGCCCAACTGTACATGGCAGTTCTGGGTACACTGGAGACCCTAAATTCTGTGGATGAGGCCAAGTTCCAATGAAATGTTGGCCACATAGTTAGCATGACTGACTCAGGTTATACTTCTTTCTCCAGCAAGCCAAGCTCTACATGTCCTGGGTGGGAATCGGCCCGGCCCAGGCAGGGACAGCTGGCATTGCTTCACTACGAACACTGGTGGAAAAGTGGTGGGGGGGGCTTCTGCTCTCCCAGGGGAAGCCCCCGAGATATACGTACGTGTTTGAAGTTCCTGAAGGGCACGAACTGGACGATGTCGCGAAGGACGGGCTCTCCCTTAGGCGACCTCAGAATCCCGTCGTCACCGTCCAGCATCTGCATGTCACTGAAGTCTGCGTTGCCCACTCCCACGATGATGACCGACATGGGGAGGTGGGAGGCATGGACGATGGCCTCCCTCGTGTCGGCCATGTCTGTGATGACCCCGTCAGTCAGGATCAGCAGGATGAAGTATTGCTGCCATTGGTGGGACACCAGGAGACGATGGGGATGGAGAGGTGGGAGAGACAAGGACAAAGCCAGTTACACACTCCGGTGGCTCCGGTGCATACTGACCACAGCAAATGACAACTGACTTTTCCTGAGTGCCCGTGTTGACAACCCTAAACACTGAAGACTTAGGATGAATGGAGCTTAAAGGCAGGCACAGTAATTGCAGGTTAATTCTAATAATCACCTTAGTGATGGTTACAAAGCACAGGGTGTAGACAGAGCAGCAGAAGAGTCAGGGGGGCTGGCTTCAAAGTCTCTTGCTCTGAGATGCTGGGAATTTTCCCTTAACTCCTCTGGGTCTCAGCCTCTTCATCTCTCAAATGAGGGGTGGGGCTAGATCATTCATACGGTCCTCTTCAGCTTGGAGATTTGCAAGAGTCTAAAGCTGAGCTGCCTAATATTTACAATAGCCACCAGCTCCATGTAACTATGGTGCCCTTGAAATGTGGTGAAAACAATGGAGAAACAGAAATTTTCATTTTATTTCATTTGAATGAATTTAAATTTAACTTTAAAAAGTGGATACCCGATTGAGTTATTGGAAATCTTTTAAGTACGTTTGTAACAACTATAAATAAGTGAATCCACTTTCTCAATTATCAACTTATAAAATCTATATAAGGATCAAGTATTTTCCATGGTAATTTAGCATCCAAATTGAGATGATGTGAGTATAAAATACACACTGGATTTTGAAGACTTAGTACAAAAAAAAAAGAATGTATAATATTTTATTAATAATTTTTATATGGAATACCTCTTAAGATGATAATGTTTTAGTTATACTGGGTTAAATAAAATATATTATTAAAATTAATTTCCCTGCTTCTATTCACTTTTTAAAATGTGGCTACTGGAGAATTTAAAATCTCTGCATGCCTCTCACTGTATTTCTAGTGGATGGCGCTGTGCTAAAGCCCTGCTAGAAAAGGCAAGGGTCACAGTCTCTCCCTCTGAAGGCTGTGTGCCCTGGGCTAATGAGTGGCCTGCAGGTGGCTGCCCTTTTCCAAGGATGTGGGCAGAAGACTCTTCCTGCTCTAAGTCCTGGTTGGACAGGCTGGCGGGTGACTCATCTGAGATGGAGATTGGAGAGAAGGCTCCATGCTCATCAGCACAGGAAGGGCTTGGGAAGGGTTACGGGGTCTGGAGAAGGAAGGCCCAGTGGAGGACATCACCGTCCTTAGTCGTTAGAGGCATCATGACAGCCTCTCAGGTGAGAGGGGAGGGAAGGAGGTCACTGAGATGCTGCTCATGCCAAACCCAAAAGAATTTCTAATGTAATCTTTGCAATATGTTCTACATCTACAGGGAATAAATGTGGGATGATGAAACCATTCCAAGTTGCCACATTTCAAAGGTGAAAGGCTAGGTAGAATAATCACATGTTGAAAACATCTGTTTTTGAGATTCACACTTAGAAAGCTGCATATAGGCTGGCAGTGCTAAAGAGTTCCCATTTTTCTCTGTGAGTCTGAAAAAAATGTTTTTAAACAAAACAACTCAGTCAAAAATGCAATTAGAGAGAAGAGAAATTCACACTATGATGAAGACAGTCACGTGTCCTGAATGCTTTCCATACAGTTTAATATAAAGACTAATTCTGGGGCTTCCCTGGTGGCGCAGTGGTTAAGAATTTGCCTGCCATTGCAGGGGACACAGATACGAGCCCTGGCCTGGGAAGATCCCACATGCTGCAGAGCAACTAAGCCCGTGCACCACAACTACTGAGCCTGAGCTCTAGAGCCTGCAAGCCACAACTACTGAGCCCCCATGCCACAACTACTGAAGCCTAGAGCCTGTGCTCTGCAACGAGAAGCCACGACAATGAGAAGCCTGAGCACCTCAACGAAGAGTAGCCCCCGCTCACCGCAACTAGAGAAAGCCCGTGCACAGCAATGAAGACCCAATGCAGACAAAAAACAAACAAACAAACAAACAAACAAATATATATATATATATGACTAATTCTGTTCCATGTCCACTAACTACCCACCCCTAGTTCTAGGTGATCAATTTTCAAATTCATTCGAATTGTCAATTTTCGTCCATACCTATGCTTTTTAAGTCTTATACATTCACAGAGAAGGTGGCCTGGGAGTTTGGAGGAAGGTTTCAGTTGGGTGAAGTGATGGAGGAGCTAGGGAGTTGCAAGGAGAAGGCACAGAAGGAGGCAGCTTGGTGGCCTGGGGCTGGAGGGAAGCAGTGTAGGAAACCAGAAATGACTCTTCCCAGGGTGTGCCTTAGAGGTCATGGCAGGTGCCACACCTGGATGGAGACTCAACCTGATTCCTGATCAGGTGGACTCGTGAGTGAATCACACTTCTGTGCCCTCATCGTCCACTCCCCACCCTCCCCTAACTCCTGTCTGATTCGACCTTCATGGTCCAGGGCACGGATCTCCCCTACCTGCCCCCTACAATACCCACAGGAGCAAACAACCTGACAGTCACACGACCACATCAAGAAAGTTTAGAGTTGTTGTGGTCTAGAGCGGACGTTGGCAAAATATTTTCTGTAAAGGGGCTATAATAAATACTTTAGGCTCTGCGGGCCATAATGATGTCTGTGGCAATGACATAACTCTGCCTGTTAGAATAAAAACAGCCATAGACAGTACTTGATAGGAATGTTCATGGCTGTGTTCTGTTAAAACTTTACTGATGGACACAAGTTTGAATGTCATATAACTTTTGTGTACCATGAAATATTATTCTCCTTTTGATTTTTTTCAACCATTTAAAAATGTAAAAGCCATTCTTACCTAGCAAGCCACTGAAAAACAGGTTGCAGAATGTGGCTGGCTTTTCATTTAGAGCAGGGGTTCTTAACCTAGGCTTGCGGACTGTTGAGTTGAAAGAATTCAGGCAATCTGTGCAGCTGGGGTAAATTAAAGTTTTATTTTCACTAACCTCTAACTAAAACTTATCATTTTTTTCAATTCTAAATATAATTAACAAATAAAATTAGTTTTAACGTGTGACTGAGTCACTAATAGAAATCACAGAATACGTTCTTGTTATCTTACAGTGTTTGCAAATATCTCAACGTGTCATTTACATTCAACACTACTTAGAAATTACAGAATTATTAGGCCAGCCACAAATTCTCATAATTTAATTTTATTACTATATTTATGATGCTTCTATGTAACATTTAAAGATATTTTGCTAACTGCATTTCAATATAATTGGTTTATTTTATAACATATGTTTTATTTTGTGCATTTAAAGGCCCTTCTGAGGAGGGGTCCATGGGCTTCACCAGCTGCTAATGGTGTCCATGGAACAAAAATGGTTAAGAAGCTCTGGTCTGAAGAGACTGTCAAGATTCTAGAACCTGATCCTTCCAGGTTTAATCTAGCTAAAGGTAATAGGCTGCAGACTGTTGGATCAAAACCCTGATGGAAATTTCCAATAAAGGTCGCAGTAACATTTGCTTCCAAAGTCAGGCTAGGAAAGTGCTCATGGGTGAAATATTATAGTCTTTGAATGTACTTGAGGTCCTGCTTACATAAGGGGAGGACATTTTTTTCTTTCTAGGAGAGTTCCACAAAACTGAGGAGAAAATCCTACAGCCACAGACTTCCTGGCACCACTTGCCTACAAGGTTCAAGGTTAGGACCCTTAGCAATCAGTGATAACAAGAGGCCCTGGATCACACACTTTTCAAAAGATAATGGAAACCTCTGGGGGAAAGCATCAGTGTTCCTGGCCTATAGGAGTGAGTTATTTGGGGAGATGTGGATTAGACGCTTCCAGTACTGTTTCCTGACCTGTCCTTTCAGAGCAGACCCATCTGTCCCTGGAGGAGTGAGTAATAGCCAAAACCTCATGCTGGTTTGTATTAGTCCAGAACTCAGACCTATGTCAGATTCTCTTTACTCCTGTGAGTCCTGGTACCCCAGGGAGGCTGAGATGATTCAAACTGGGCTCCGGGGAGCCCTAGGGATGCCTTGGATGCTCTTGGGGATAAAGGGAGTCAAGGAGAATAGACAAGTTTGGACCCCATCCTTCAGCCCATATTTAGAAAAAATAGTCTGTTTTCTTAAAATCTATTTTATGTGTTTGGTTTCTGAGCAAGGTATTATTTGAAGTATTTGAATTTGAAGTCCTGGTGTTTAAAAAAAAGGTTAAAAATAAAATTAAATACTGATCCTGTCCAACCTTATGCCTAAATCTTACATCTGAGAGGATTCAGATTTGCTTCAAGGCCTCTGTGGGTTTGGCAAGATGGAGATGCTATTGACTTTGACAAACATGGTCTTCACAGGGGTGTTGGGGAGCAAAGTTTGGGTGGTGCAGGTGGAAGGGTCAATGGGAGGAGAGATGGAGGCAGTGAATATGGGCAGTTCTTTCAATGAATTTTTCTGTAAAAGAGAGTAAAATGAGGGACAGTACCTAAAGGGTAAAGTGTTGAGAGAGAGTTTTGAACCTAAACAAGAGATATTGTAACATGCTTTATTTGCTAATAGGAATGAGTCTTCAGTAGAAAGGGAAAAATAGGTGATGAGGCGAGAAAGGGAATATAAGTATGAGGTCAGTGTCCCTAATAGTTGGGAGGTGTGTGCTGCAGTGCACAGAGCAGAGGTCGCCATGAGACGGGAGTGTAGTCCAGCCCATCCTAACACAAGAGAAGCTGAGAACACAGGCACAGGGCAAGGGGGTCAGATGAGCTCACACAAGAAGGTAAGGGAGCAGCATGTCATATTCTTCATGCAAATTCAGTGTCTTGGAACCCAGGATAAAATCACAGAGAAAATTTCAGACATTAGCAATATTCTGCTAAATCTGAGAAAATGCCATACAGCTAAAAAAGGACATAGGACATAATGACGGTATTGAAAAATGATGCATAGAAAAGCTATTACAGCAATATATTTAAGTCTAATATATTAGGGGAAAAAAACAAACTCTATTTGGCCTTGTAACCTTGGTTTGCATTTTTCTTAAGAAAACCACTAATAGGACCTGAAATAAACCTTCACTGTGATGTTGTGTGTTACTTCACTTGACTACCAGGCAGAAGAATAACCCATTGTTTTACTTCACTTCCATCTGTAGTCTGGGTACACTGGAAAGCAAGCTTAGTTTTGGACAGTTGTTTTTTTTCCTTCCTACGAACTGAAGGTGAGTATGAGTTTTATGAGGATGACCTACACTCCAGTGAATATAGTGGCTTTCCCTGTTGAAGGCCTTCTGTGTTCAGGTAACATTGCAGACATTTGAGTTATGTCATCTCTAAGCCTCATGTTAATCCAGCAGAGATAGGCATGATTATCCCTATTTTTCAGGTGAGGAGACTGAGGACAGGGGGAAGGTTAAGTCACTTCTTCAAACTCACACAGGTAGAAATGCAAATTTGTCAGATTGGGATGGGTGCTATGGCCAGTATCCAGGTGAGGATGGGTAAATGCCCATTAGCAGGTAGACCACCCCTCTCCTTACCGATGCCTCCTTAGTGTTGGTCTCCTCTGATGCTGACTTGGCGACCTTCTGGATGATGGGAGCGATGTTGGTGGGGCCATAGAGCTGGAGTTTGGGAAGGCAGCTCTGGTAGGCTTCCACAACTCCTTGAATCCCTGAGGTGGAATTGGCAAAGATCAGTAGCTAAATAGTCCCCCCAAATATATTTATAATCAAACACACACACACACACACACACACACAAATGAAGCATTAACTTCCCCCAAATAGTCCTTATCAATAGCACATCTATGTTCTTAAGATAAAAAAGAAAATACCACATCTGGGCTGGTCTTTCTGCCTCCACTCCCACTAAAATAATTTTCTTTATTCATTTTACTTATTTTTTTTTTGAAATTGACTTGGGAAGAATTTATTAATGAATGATTGTGTTTGCTACAGAATACAAACAAGCTTTTTATGACAAAGAGAATATTCTAGACCCATTAAAAAAATGTCAGTTACAAACCTATGTATTCCCAAATCTTTTTCTACACTTTCAAAAATAAGGGATTCATATTGGGAATATTTTGCAACCCTACAACTTAAAACTCAGAGAGAAATCATTTTGGTCTGAAATCATTCTCTTTAAAGGTTCAAGTCAAAAGCGATCATTTCCACCAATGTCTCCCTTATGTCTCACCTTACACAATAGATTTCATTAGATCCTCCTATTGTAATGAAGCCAACATTGTACCCATTTTACAGGTAGGAAACTGAGGCTCAGAGAGGTTTGCTGCAGACTCAGGATTCACACCCAGGTGTGTCTGGCTCTAAGGGCCATGCTCACAGCTTTAACATCCCTCTCATTTTCACACCATCCTGTTGACTCTAGTATAACCACCCCGGGCCACCTATGTGAGGATGTGTACCCACAACCGTCTCTCCAGATGTTAAAGTCCTTGTGGGTAGGAATTGTGACTTTCTTTCTCATGAGCTCGAGGCAGGTCGGGCACATGGCAGCTGCTCCCCAAATGTGTGATGAATGAGCAAGATGATGGTCACAGTCGTCTGCTGGGGACTGTAGTACAGGTGAATGACGTCCATCACCACGGGCACCCCTCATTTAAGGGGGGCTTCCATCCAAGAGATCATGATGGGTGGGCTCTGCTGGAAGAGGCAGCCCTGCTAGTGTAGCTCCTCCCAGCGTAAGTCTTGGCTGCACACTGAATGTTCTAACCGTGATCCCAGAGAGACAGTCCCATTATCTATGATTTTTGTTCAAATGGTCCTCTCTGTGTCTGTGCCTGTGTTACCTCTCTCTTCCCCTGTTTCATCTCATCCTCCTGCACCCCTTTCTACCCTGAAACAGCACACTGGTCCTGTTTTAAGCCAGAGAGACCCACAAAGCCCCTCCTGTGATTTTTTTCCCTCCACATCCTGCCAACCAGATTTTGGGCATCCTGGATGAGCAAGTTGTGCTCTGTTCTGCCTTTACACACATGCATGTAACAAAATGTGTATGAAAATGACTGAAAATGCTTCATTCTCTTTGTCCTGCCCCAAAGTCTGCCATTCTAAAGACAGGTGCCAAATCATTACATAGCCTGGTTTTGAAGTTAAGTGATGCTGAACAGAAGCTCTTTATCTGTTTTGGTTTTTGAGGTTTTGCCTAAGATAAGCAAGTCTGAGTTCTCTTCCAAAAATACCAGGCAGGTGAATTCTAAGATGTGAAATGGGTTAACACTGGATATGTCCTTCATTCTGCTTTGATGGAAAACCATTCTTACAGTTGAAGAGAGGGAATGGTTTGAGATAAGGGAAGCCTAAACTGTAATAAACTTGGCGTGAGGGATGATGAGAGGGAATAAGGGCAGAATGGAGATCTGGTCTCATAGGTTGTTGCGTGCAGACCCGGGGATATTGATATCATGTTCTTGGACAGTTAGTGCCAAATATGTGAAAGAAACTGCAGGATGTTCTACACCCCCACAGGATCTGAATTAATCCTGTTCAGCCCCTTCCTCCTCTATAGGAAGGAGGAGAGACACAGACATTTCCACCAGTCCACTGCAAAAATGTCTTACCATTTTCATAGCAACAGGTGTACTTGGCTCTATTTATTATTTAGAAATCAGGAAAAATGATTCTAGGATACAATTTATCATCATAGTCATCATCATTATTTTGTGGAATGTCTTGGGGAATTTCTAGCTGGAAATAACATAATACAGACCAAAGCCTTTGAGAAGGCTCTTTCTGGCACAAATCCATGAAGTGACTTGTTTGAAGTTGCTGAGGGCATATCCTTTGCCAACATGAAAGTGTCACATGATCTCCACGCTTCCCCCTTTCCTTATTACTTCACAGAGAGGAAGTCGTGCAAAATAAATACTTGAGGACAGCTTGGAAAGCAGAAGGAGGGGTACCTCATCACTGCCCATCACGTGACCCTTCCCTCAATTTTTTTTGTTTTTTGGGTGTTTTTGGCCAGAAGAATCCAGAATTGGAATCAATATTCTTGCTCTAAGCTCAAAACCTCTTCTGCATTCTGTCTTTTCCAGCTCTTACGTCTCTGCTCTGTTGTGGCCTTCAGAGTAGCATGTTTATTTGGGTCCAGGGAGCCTACTTCTCCTCTGTGGACAATCATCACTGACATACTGCATCAGGAGAGAGAAACTAAAATGGGAAAAGTACGAAGGGAAGGGCTGTGAAACACTGACTTCCTTTCACGTTGTGATTTACCTGCACATTCTGGGTTGTCTTCATTAAAGTTGATTGCGAAGTCATGAGATACCTGGACACCAATTAAAATTTACAAAAGGAAGAAAGGAGAATGACAACATTAATCCAGTAAGGAGGCACTGGGGCTTAGAGTTTGCCAACAGATGCTCATTACATTCATTATGTGTCAAGCAGCGGGAACCATTTTAAGCCTTTACACAATCACTCTGAGATGGAGGGTGGATTCTAAGCTCCCTGTGGAGTTGAGGTGACAGGGAGATTTTCTAGAATCAGATAAATGCTGGCAGGAGGGGGAGACTAAGGCACATGAAAAAAAAATCCAAGAAAATATTTCATAAAAATGTAACTCCAAATAGCTTCCGGATAGAAGTGGCCACAGACCAGAGGCTTAGATTTGGTTGAGTTCTATTTGGAGCCAGTGATTAAAAAATGATAACTCAATAACCTAAGCTGTCTGCTTGACATGGCCATGGTTATAAAGGCTCCAGCAAAGCTGTTGACATTTAAGACTCATTCTAACATAATATACAGAGCTGCCAGGCAGGAGGATTTTCACATACATACAGGTAAAAATAGACTCTTGCTTTTGGAAAAGTAATAAAGTAATAATTCCAACACAAATTCCTCAGCCTGGCAGGACATATGTACAAGGTCAAATAATATGTGGTTTACTTTTTTTCTTTCTAAAACCTGATAAAATAAGAGGGGTGTCCTGGCATCTATACATTTTTATTGGGTCACTTGGAATTTTACTGAGACTTCTATTTCAAAGGCTATTTCCCACAGGACTGACTATCTGGGGCCTAGAAAATAGGTCATTGTGTTAAAAGACCCCTCTTTTCTCAGTGGGGGTCAGAGCTGATGCTGTTGGTGCCTCGCTCACACTCCCTTGCCCTTGGCTTTTCCAGGCAACTCAGCCGACTGCCAATCATCCCGCCTGCTTTATTTACCTTAAGTTTTTCTTGGGCTTCCAGAGCCTGCTTTGCCTGCCCAAGTGACAGGCTAAAAATGGTGGGGAATTAATGTCCCCTGGGAGTAATGTCCCCGGGGAGTAGCTCTTCATCATGGGCTGATGGGAGGTGGTGTGTCAATATCCCAGGTCTCTTACCCCTTGGGGTCTGTGTGCGCTCTGCATTGTCTCCCGGGATTCAGCTCTGGCTGTCCATGCTGGTAATGGCTTGTTAGTAAACCCTATGTTGATTTCTCCCCATTTCCCCACTCTCTACTGAGGTTTCCTCCACCTCTCAGATAAACTACTTGCCTCCAAATCCCTGTCGCAAGGTCCCAGGAGAGCACAAACTAAGGCGGAGGTACTTGTGGCTCAGTTTCAATGCAAACTGAGATTTTATCCTCAAGAAGTAAGTCATGGTAACTTTGTAAACACTCTGGGGGGGCACTTGAGTTGCTGAGACCATCAGGGCCTGTCTGGGGCAGAGGGGAGATGAGGCATGGAAAAGGGTATCTGAATGGCTTTGGGGGAGCAGAGTGAGAATACGTAAGGGGTGCCTGTTAGGGCAGCAGGAATAAGTTAGCTGCCAGTCAGAGTGGAGCCAGGGGATCAGGACTTTAGCAAACAGCACGAAGAAGAAGTTGCTTCAGAAGGGCGACCAGGCAGATGTCAGGGATGAGGACAGAAAGGCCTGGAGCCAGGTATGCTGCACACCTTTGTCCTCAGCCCCGCTGGGTCAAGCTGAGACCGGAAGGCTCTCTGGGGGGATGTGAGGAGGACACTCAAGCATCTCAGAGCAGCTGGACTGGTGGTTGTCCAGGTGCATTCCAGGCTCGAGGCTCAGCACCTCTGTGAGGAAGGTGGGCACCCACCTGCCCACATTCTGGAACTGATATCCCATCCGAAGGGGACTGCATCTCCTGAGCTCTGGCTAATATTTTATGTGTAATCTTTTAATTTTAGTGTTATCAGGCCTTTCAGTTTTTCCAGAGAAGCCAGAAATCTGACATTTTACATGAAATTGTCTAATTCTTAAAAAAAACTGTGTGTCAAATAGAATATGGCCTAACGTCTACAGGCCACCAGTCAACAGCTCTTGTTCTATATTCTTCCCCCACCATGTACTGATTTCCGACAAATGCTTCTAGAATTCTGTAGCATGGTCAGCAGGAAGGCCAGTGTGGGCTACAAAGCAAACAAGGAGGAGGACAGGTCAGGGAGACAGGCTACTCCATCATCCCTCATTCCAGCAGGAAAAGGGAGGTGAACTCCCTCTTTCACTGAAGGCCCTTTGTCTGACGGCTCTGGGGTGGAAGCAAAAGTTGGCATCTGCCTCCTGCTGTTCAGCTCAGACAAGGTCAGTAAAAGAGAAACTGATGACTGGGCGGTATTGCTTGCACTTAGCTGGGACCTCAGAGGCTTCCTGAGGCTGCAGCAGGAGCCCTGTTCCTCTCCAAGGTTCTCCCACCTGGGAGGCTGAGTCCCCTGTGAAGAGTGTCCCACAGGGCCATCTGGTATACCATAGGAGAATGCCTCAGTTCCACTGCAGCACAAATCTCTCCACGTACAGCCTCTGCCTTCTTTGTGAGAAATTGGCATCGAAACCAAATAGGATTCCAGTGTCTTTACATGAGCCTTTCAACTCCAGAGTCTCTGAGCCCGAGCAGCGCTTTCTTCAGGATTTTTCTGTGTCCCCCACAAAAGACTGGTGCTTAGGGACTTGGGATGAGGGAGTCTGTAGACCTCACTGTCATGGACTTTCACTGTCAACATGGTCAATGGGGTCTTTCTCCAGGGGAGATCTGAATACATGGGTTCTGAGCCACTGGAGATCAACTTCCGAGTGTTTTCACAGTCTGACTATGTCTATAAGAAGCTAAACAATGGAACACTTCATTTGGAAATGACTCTGAGAAGGCCAATCCAGAATACCAGGAGATTGGCTGCCATCAAAACAGAGGCTCCGAGGAGCTAATCTCACTGGTTCTAAAGACCACTTCTGCCTCTTTGGGCCCTTACATAATTATATCAAAGGTCGAAAGAGTGAGACTCCTGTGAGGGAAACCCAACTCATCCTTTGTTTATAGCAAAACACTCACTCACCGTGTACTCTGGGGGTATCCTGGCACCAAACCCAAAGGCTGGGAACATTTTGTCACTGAAATTTAAAAAAAGAAGTTGCTACATTTGTCCATTTAATGAGGAAGAAAAACACGAACTTGCATTACCTTGCGAGAATAGGTCACTATGCCAAATACTGACTACTCATGCGTCTTGATTACCTGTGGTAACAGGGGATAGCAATAGTGTGAGCAACTAAAATCAAGAAATAATCCCCAAAGTTCATCACTTTACTGCTTTCCTTTACTATAGGTGAGACGATGGGCAGGAGAAGAATAAACATTGATTGGCACTACAATATGCCAGATATGATGCTAGGCCATGTACATACTTAGTTAATTTTCACACAATGTTTGAAGGTCCACCTACTTATTATTCTTGTTTTACTGATGAATAAACTGAGTCTCAGAAAGGCTAAGAAAATGACCTAAGGTGTTTACCAGTGAGCACTGTGTGATTCCAAAGCCCATGCCTTTTCTATTATACCATCATGACTTACTGATTATGTACAGCATTAAATGTGATTTCCTCTTGCACTTCCCATAACTGGGCCTCCTGACCAGATCACAAATAAGACTCTTCTTAAGCAAAATTTGTGCTGTCAGGGGATTGTTGCAGTGGGGCTCTGGAGTATTGCTCTTGGAAGAAGGCAAGGGGGGCCCTCAGGCTATCTACCTTTTACTTTCTCTCCCATTAAAAACACAACTGAGATTTGTTCTTGGAACAGTTCCTCCATTTCGCAGTTCTTGCAGAGCCAGCCAAGGAGAAAAGGAAATTCAGATAAGGGCTCACTGTCCCAGAATGTCTCTGGATGCAAAAGGGGAGTCCCAAGCTGAGAAGTCAAAGGATCAAAGCCAGACCGTCACCCATCACTATCTAACTGATTTAGAGGTCATCAGTAGCCAGTGATGGCTTTGATAGAACTTCACCAAAATATAGCCCATTTGACCAAATTTGGGGCAGGGGTTGGGAGATACAGGGAAACCAGAATTCTCTGAAATCAACCTCTAAATTTGCCAGAAAATCACTAGTTCCTTCTTTCCCTTTCTATTGTGTAGATATGGGCTTCGTGGGGCATTGCACCTATCAGGTGTTAGAAAAGGTATTAATGATGATAAATAGAAAATCATAAAATCTTATAAAGGATTAACCACAGCTCTGAGAAAAAAATACTTCTGGTCCTTGGAAATATTGAAATACTTTGTCTCAGAAATTCCTTCTTAGCCAAGACAAGGGTGAGCAGATGTGGGGAGGAATCAGCAAGGGAGATTTTAGAGGTACTTTCTAGTTAAGTCTGGAAGAAAACTGTTCTGGGTGGAGGATGGGTCCTGCTTCTTCCAACTCGGATGGCTCAGAAGTCAAAACAGAGAAACCTAGAAGGCTCCACATTTTTAAATTTCTTTGATAAGTTTAGGAGGGGTGAGATTTAATATTCCACCCATTTCTAATCACAAAACCAGTGTTCCAGACGTAATGATATTCCTTTTAACCCTTCAAGCCACCCTTGTGGATTTAAGCTTGCTGAGCATGATGCACTGTTATATAACCGAGTTTCAAGAGTACGGAGGTAGGGAAAATGCCTCACCTACAAGGGGAATAATTAATGAATCAGGATGGTCTCAGTTCTCTGAAGTCACAAAGACCCTAATAAACATACTAAAGAAAAAAATTCAAGCCTAAGCACAATAGATTTAAGCATTCACTTTCCCTGATTAGAAATAGAATTAGGAAGAGAGGAGTCTTATTATGCAAGAGGCAAGGGAAGGCAAGCTGAGCACACAAGCAAGCATCAGCATGCCAACACATCAGGGAACTTAAGATAGGATTCAGCAGCACTGAGTAAAGGGGTCATTTAGCAATTATTGAGGACTTGATTGGTAGAAACTTCCAACCTGGAAAATTCAGGGCAGATCACCACATTGCTGAAGGCAGTATTTCTTACTATTGGAATAAAATAGTATAAAATACTATCTAAGAGCCCAGGGTCTTCAGTGGCAGTGAGCTTGACGTCTTGAACTTCTTAGGGAAAGAACTTGATCAGATGACCTGCAGATGGAAGATGCATTTTTACCCTCCCTGGTAAGAAAAAGTGGGCTAAAGCAAGAGATTAATAAAAGAAAAGACAAATGACTGTGTCCATAAGGAAATGGAGATGAACTCAGAGCAAAACAGCATTTCAGAACAACTAGACATTTAATGAAGGCTGTTCTCTAAAGCAGTGGTCTTAAAGCTAGGGTACGTGGACATGCAAAGCCCTTCGAGGGATATGAGAGCATGGCTTCTTTGTTTTTAAGGGAAATCAGTATTCAGTTCCTCTACCTCCCCATGTATTCTTTACTGAAATTCATCTTCTGGGAACATCTCTGATGGAAATACCTGCTCCTCATTCACACCTCCCCTCTCCCAATTAACCTCTGCTCACCCACTAGGAATCTCAGCCACCATGGTGAGTTGCACCCGAGTGTAAAAGCTCCACAGCAGAAAATAAAGAGATACTTCCTGATGTGAATGACTCACTAGCAAACAAATCCTTTTGTAAGTCAGATAGTTTTGCTCATTTTTGCTTTAAAAAAACTGTAGGAAGTGCTGATGTCAGGGGCTAGATCATTAAAAATACCTTTTGATGATAGATATGTAATTTTTTGATATAAAACTTAGAATTGAAAGAATTAACATAATACTCGTAGGCAAACTCTTTCCATTACCACGGACTTATAAAAACAAGCTTTCTTAGTATTTACATTGATAAAAACAAAAAATTGGATTAGAATTGATGCTAGATTTTCCCATTCTGGTCATAGGTAGCAGTCAACCACAGATATGTAAGCTAATTGGGAAAATAATCTACTATCTGTTTCACTAAGATTTTTTCATTTCTATTTTTTATAGGCAATAATCAGGTGTTGAACTTTCACAAATATTTATGATCAATTACACAGTAATAAGGATTATAATAAGAACTAAACCAGAAGATATTTTTAAATACTTTGAATCTTTTCATTACAGTAAATTTTAGAGATTGGAAACTTAAAAATTTATATTCATATTTTAGTTAAAGACATGTGTGATACAGTGATCAATAAAGGAATTTCAAACCAAATTTTTAAAGATACATTGGAATGAAGTTCTATGGGGGAAGGGAATGTAAATATGAGCTCATGAAAAAGAAGAAACAAAATTCTCAGCTCAAACTGATGAAATTGTTCACTCATTGTTTAAATGGACGATGGTAGGTATCAAATAGCTATGGCATTTAGATTCTGCTGGATGCATTTGCAAGAGTTAGGTAAGAGTTTTATTTTTAAATATCCATATTTACATTACACTAGAATTTTCATTCGTTGTCACTATTTAAACTCTTGATGGAAAATGTTAGATTTCAATGCAAAAGTGTGTGAGGGCTATATGTTTTAACACTCTTTTTACGAGTATGTGAGCCAAAAAATTTTAAAGGTCATTAGTCCAAAATGACTTTTAAGTCTGACACTATAGTCCTTTTCCCTTGTGTAAGAGTATTAAAGAAAATAGCCTCTATCACTTATCAAGTATGTACAAAAGGCAAAACTTTTGTATCTAATCCTTACAACCACTCTGCAGGGGAAGTTAGATAAATCTTTCATTTGCAATCAAGGAAACAAGGCCCAGTATAACATCAGGAGAATAAAGAGAGCCGAGCTGGGATCTGAACCCAGGCCCCCCTGTCACCAGGACCCTGTTGACTCTGCCCTTCATAGGAGGCTGGTCTGGTCTAATGATTCAGAATAATGTGCTAATAACAACAAATAACAGAATTAGCAGAACTCACCACCCCCAGGAGGCCCTCCTCGACTGTCAATCTCTCTTCTCACAAAGGATAGAGTTAATCCTTCCTTCCTCATGCGTCCCCATCCTTACATAGGCCGTGTAGGGCTGTGATTCATTTATGTGCCTTTCTCTCCCATGAGACTGTGACCGACTTGAGGGGAAACCATGCTTATTAATCTCTCTGTGCCTTTACAGCACTGCGTGAGGGGCCTGGCACCCAGCAGGTCCTCAGCTGCTCCATCTCACCTATCTCTCCCAATTTAGCTCTGGGTCTCAATCCTGGATGCCCATTGGAATTAAAAATCCTGATCCTCAGGATGTGCACCAGACTAATTAAATCAGGGTGTCTGGGGGTAGGGCCCAGGTACCAGCTTGTTTTAAGGCTTCCTGAGTGGTTCCAATGTGGAGACAAGGTTGAGAACAATGGATTGGTGTTGGCAGAGTGGAAAAGGTAGCGCTGTGATGTGACCCTGCCTTCCGACTTCTAACCCAACCTTCTGCGCTCAAACATGCCTGTGTCAGTTCTAACCTTGCCTCTGCACTGCTCTGAGCACACCTCAGAGGAGACGCCTGCCTCAATGGTTTCCAGTACCCCTGCCTTATTCTGGGGTGGCCAAGCCTATTAAACGCCAGTCTGTATTTGCGAGCAATGTACCGTATTTATACTCTCTTGGTAGCAGCTAGACCAGCCTTTCTGTGAGGGACATGGCAGGTGGTCAGAGACTCACATCTCTTTTGAGCCCAAATGGATACCATCTTGGACTTGAGCAGCCTAAAGAGACCAGGTTGTTCGTAGGAGCTGGGGAAGGGCTACAACCAACCCGGAACAGATGAGCTCGTTTGTGAGCGCACGCTCTTGGGGAGCTGGAGGGGAGAGAGGGCAGGGGTCTCTCTCTCAGAGGTGCATAGAAAATGGGCTGGCAGGGCTGCCTTCCAGGCTCAGGACCTGAGTCTGGTCTCCCCTGGCCACCCTGAGAACTCCGAGCTTCACGCGTCTCTCAAGCTGTTCAGCTTCACGGATCAGCTCATCATGACCCGTTACTGTACAAGGCAGGAAGAAAACCCTTGGCTGTCAGAGGCTGGGAGGAATTTCCAAGCCTCTTGGGGATTAAAAACCTCCGTGTCGCTGCAGGAGGGGGAATGGCGCCTTCTGTCAGTTTTTATTGAAGCGTTTCTTTTTGAGCAACAACCTCACTGACTTTGATGCAAGAATAAATTAATTCCAAAACCCCAACTTGAAACGTCCTGACTTCCTGTCTATTGTCTTTCCACCCACACAGAGGAGAAGCGGTGGAACCTTGTCAGTTTTCAAGTAGCCATTAGTGTGCCCATTTCAATGCTGAGGTGCCTTTTTTATATGAAAAATATAAAAGCTCCACTGAGCTGAAGAAACCTGTTTTTCTTGGCCAGTTGGGGCTGACAACTTTGGTATTTTATTTTTAAATTTTTAAAAGAATCATTTGCGATGATTCTTCATGTAACCCCAAAAGTGTCATCTCTTACTTTTAGAATGAATCTGCATTTTTGAGGGAATACAAAATCCTCCCCAGGCTTTGTCTGGCTCACGTTATAAAGGGATAACAGCTCTAAAAGATGTGCAGGTCCCTCTGACTGTTGTATCTGCATCTTTCATGCAAGGTAATCAGGAAACAGAAGTTCTGCAGCTTGTCCAGTAAATCTGCTGCAGAACCGCAGCAAGGGCTCTGGGTGTCAGCATCTTAATTTCTGGCCAGCTCACCAAATCTCCTCTTTGGAATTCATTATTACACTGCCTTGTGCCTTGCAGAGTCAGTCAGAGTCAACTTTATTACTAAGCAGCTATTGTGTTGTGTTAAGTGCTTTTACTTTATCTCTTTTATGAGAATTTCAACATTTAAAAGTTATTAAGAATGCAGAAGATGTTTCCTCTCTTCCTTCTTCTCTCATATGGACACACCTGTGTGTGTGTGTGTGTGTGTGTGTGTGTGTGTGTGAGTGTATGTGAGAGTGAGAGAGAGAGAAAGGAGAGAATTACTGTTTTGTTGTTTTGGGGATGTTTGGAGAAGTTTCTGACAGTGAGGATGCAATATGTCCATCTTTTCCCTCCTTGGTAGAAGTCTCCATATGACACGAGCCTCTCTAAGAACCTCCCCGAATTGGGGCCTAAAGAAATCGGAGCTGAGATTCAAGTTGTCTTCACAGACAATATTTCAAGGTTAAGTACAAGTATCATTTCAACAAGGTAGTTAAAAATGTTATTATTGCCCTCTGTTCCAAATGTGGAAAAGAGGAAGTGTTAGCAGGGGCCTTGTGTTTAGAGCTGTCTGATTTGACTGTACCTGTTCATTCATCCCCAACTGGCCACACACCCATCTGAGTTATTGGTGATGAACAGTATGAATCCAGAGACTTGCCAGTGGGAAGTCCACTGCTGGAAGCTTTCCTATTACCTGTCCCTTTGGTTTCTCTGCACTTTCTGGTCACTAGGTTGTGTCACTCCCTGTGGTGCCTGTGTATCAGGTTATCATGGTTTATAACCAATTATGAGACTAGAAAGAACAGAAATCAGGCTATTCCATGAAATCTCCCTGAAACCGGAGGACAGAGTCACTTTCTTTATTTTTCTGGTTTAATAGGTCAATTAGTTGCTGCTCATTACTAACTAGCCCTATATTACAATCATACCAGGCTGTCAAGTGAGATTTACCCATATTTATATTTACACTGGTTCTACTTCAAAGAGCCTTCTTGATCAAACATGTGAACAACTTCACCTCAATCTGGAAATACTGGAAAGGCAGAATAAATTCAGTTCAATGTAATTTATGTAAATCACTTCTTACAGGGAATTCTCTTGGTGGGCAAGGTCAATATTCATTATCAAGTAAAAATAAATGTAATACTGATCTGATCTCAAAATCGTGTTTTCTATACAGACTTACAAACACATACACACACTGTAGTGGGCACACACACACCTCCTGTTAAAGTTACCAACAGCTTTTGAGGTCCATGAAACCCCACTATTACGAGCTTACGCTGTGGAATGAGCTGGATCTGGGTGTGGAGCAGAGCACAGATCACTTCACCTCCCTGCACAGTTTTCCTCTTCTGTTAAACAACACCCATGACAGAATGTTTAACGTGAGGATCAGATAGAATAGTGTCTAATAAACCAGTGCTTCTCAAACTCCAAAGTGCACATGAATCATCTGGGAATCTTGTCACAATGCAGATGCTGATTCAAATTCTCAAGTGGGACTTGATGAAGTTCCTAGGTGACGTTTTGCTGCTGGTCCATGCACCAAACTTTGAGTAGCAAGGCACATACTGAAACTACAAAAGGGAAACCAAAATCGCTATCCAGTGGTCCTGCCAGCCAAGTAAGAGAAGAAAGCTAAGAAAGGATTGTTTTGGTGGTCACTGTAGGCTTGGCATGAACTCAGTTTCTCTAGGTGTGGAGAGGATAACACATTTGGGACAAAGCTTTATTCTGTCCTCTCATGAGCCTCAGCATAACTTCATTTCCATTCTTTGGCCCAGGGTCAGGCAAGGGCCACAGGAACCCACAGAGATGGGGAGTCTCATACCTGTCATAGTCTTGGCAAATCTCCCCCACAGCTACCAAGGCCTTCAGGTACTCATTGGGCTGGTAGGGGTGGATGTAGTGCAGGGAACAGCTGTTCCTGGGGTCCCCATTCGAAGCCGTGAAATCTATAGCTACCTGGAAGAGAAGATAGGCAAATGGGTGGATTTGATTTAAAATGAACATATTTCATAGGAATTGTGATTAGCCCTGAGAGAGACACAGCCAGTGTGTGTGTGTGTGGGGGGAAGCAGTATGTTACACACCTGCCAATAAGCAGAGTTAGAGAAGAAATTCACCAGCTTTAAAAACTAGTTATTCAAATAATGGAGAGGATGTGGAGAAAAGGGAACCCTCCGGCACTGTTGGTGGGAATGTAAATTGGTGCAGCCAGTATGGAAAACAGTATGGAGGTTCCTCAAAAAACTCAAAATTGAATTACCATATGACCTAGCAGTCCCACTCCTGGACATATATCCAGACAAACTCTATTCTAAAAAGATACATGCACCCCTATGTTCATAGCAGCACTATTCACCATAGCCAAGACGTGGAAACAACCTAAATGTCCATCCGCAGATGAATGGATAAAGAAGATGTGGTACATATATACAATGGAATACTATTCAGCCATAAAAACGAATGAAATAATGCCATTTGCAGCAACATGGATGCAACTAGAGATGATCATACTAAGTGAAGTAAGTCAGAAAGAGAAAAACAAATACCATAGGATATCACTTACATGTGGAATCTAAAATATGACACAAATGAACTTATCTATGAAACAGACTCACAGACATAGAGGACAGACCTGTGGTTGCCAAGGGTGAAGGGGTGTCGGGGAGGGATGGAGTGGGAGTTTGGGTTTAGCAGATGTAAACTATCATATATAGGATGGATCAACCACAAGGTTCTACTGTATAGCACAGGGAACTATATTCAATATCTTGTGATAAATCATAATGGAAAAGAATATATAAAAATAATGTATATATATATGTATAACTGAGTCACTTTGCTGTACAGCAGAAATTAACAGAACATTGTGAATCAACTATACTTCAGTAAAAAAAACTAGTTATTAATTTGGTTGAGGCCATTTCTATAGTCTTCAACCTCCCTCTCCCCTATGCCCTCTTTTCTCCTTGTCCAAAACAGAACTTGAGATTGACGTCCAGGTTAGAAAACCCAGCATCTGATCCACAATGTCACCAGGCAGCAAGGGTAAGGGTGGAATATTGTAATTCACTAAGAAGAGTTCTTACTGCTCTCCGGGGAGGACGATTCCATCTCTGAGACCTAGCTAAACTCCCTCAAAACTAAATTCTGTGTTAAAGATGTGGCCTGTATAACAAAGCCACTGCTACTTTCATGAGTGACCAGCTGCAGAGAGAGATGCTGAAGTGGTTATAATAAAATTTCTGCCAGAAGCAGCTCTGTGTAAGGCTCATTCATGTAAAAACCCACCCACAACAGAGAAGACGCCTGAAGTCTACAGCATTGTCAGTGGCAAGTAGAGAAGAGAAACCTCTGTCTGGCCACCTAGTGGGCATTATCTTTGAACTTAAGTTTTTTCTGACCCCCTACATCATCATCATCTAAATAAAAGTTGACTCACAGGACAATTTTTTTTTTTTTAATTTTGGCTGTGTTGGGTCTTCGTTGCAGTGCGCGGGCTTCTCTCTAGTTGTGGCGTGTGGGCTTCAGAGCGCATGAGCTAGTAGTTGTGGTGCGCAGGCTTGGTTGCCCCGAGGCATGTGGGATCTTAGTTCCCCATCAGGGATGGAACCTGTATCCCCTGCATTGGAAGGTGGATTCTTAACCACTGGACAACCAGGGAAGTCCCACACAGGACACTTCTTAACAACAGCAACAACAAAATTCTTTAACCTGAGGGTGGTGCTAAAACGGGAAGGTGTATTTCTTCTGATTTCTACTATCATCACCAATTCAATGAAAGTTAACCCAGCAAACACCTCTCCAAAGAAATGCTTAATCTTGGAGGTGGAGAGTGGGGAGAGAGGGATTAAAATGAAAGGAGCTGTAGGGAAAGAAAGGAATGTTCATGGTGCATCCAGCTCAACAGAATCCATTCACTGGCTGACTGATGATAGAAAGGCTCAATTTTCTCTTATGATCTTGTGAATGACAAATGCTATTTGTATAACATTTGACAAAATTCCATTATAACAAACCACTGGAATATCTCATTGGATTTAAGGTGGGATGCTAGTTCTGGAAGGACAGAGGAAAGGGGCTATGTGCTCTGTGTCTGCTTCTGAAAGACCAGACTCAGTAACACTGATGGAAAAAAATGTCACCTCATCTTATATTGTAAGACTGCAATCAAATCAAAGTAACTGGAAGAGAAAAAGCATTGACTAACAGTAATTCACTAACAACCTCTCTTTTGTTCCTTTGTAAAGTTATTCTTTCATCACTGAATTTTCCCCTTTTCTTCCTCACCCCTCCACAGGACTATGTTGAAAATAAATTTAAGCAGGATTCAAATTCTATTTTCAGAACCTCCAGATGTTTTCAATAAGGGAGTACAAACTGATAAAACACTAATATAATACTAAGTGTTTCAAAAAAGGTCATATGAGTATTCCCCCAATGCTTAGATGCCCTTACTTTGGACAAAAAAGGGAAGAAGGGAGGGGTAACCTCTGTTGAAACCCTACTATGTGTCAGACACCTGCACTGGCAGCTTTACAGGCATTGTGTTATTTCATTCTCATAAAAACTCTGGGAGGTAGAGATTATTATTCCTTTTTATTGATGAATCTGATGCTCAAAGGTGATGAAGGTCACAAAGTCATAGGGGATGGAGCTGGGTTTAAACCCAAGTCTATATGGTTCCAAAGACTCTGCTCCTTCATCATATCGTTATATACCCAAGAGAATGAGTAAGTCTGTGACTGGGATGTCCAGACATCTCGTGGGCATGTTTTATTCTTATGAAGGATGAGGAGGTTTGGCCTGGAGGTAGGGATATTAACCAGGAGGCAACTACAGTAATTTAAGAGAGAAGAAATACCTTGAATGAACAACACTTTATGACCAAAGCAACTGCAAAAGGTAGGAAAACAGCAACTAAAGTGTGTGTATATGTGTGTGTGTGCACGTGTGTGTGTATGAAGAACAGTGGGAGTTAATTTCTTCTGTACAGCAAAGTGACTCAGTTATACATATATATATTTTTTCATATATTTTCCATTATGGTTTGTCACAGGATATTGAAAATATAGTTCTCTGTGTTATACAGTAGGACCTTGTTATTTATCCATTCTATATATAATAATAGTTTGCCTCTGCTAATCCCAGACTCCCATTCCTCCCCTCCCTTACCCCCCCACCTATGTCTGTGAGTGTTTTTGTTTTGCAGATATGTTGATTTGTATTGTATTTTAGATTCCACATATAAGTGATATCATACAGTATAATCAAGTATACTTCAATAAAATAAAAAAAACCAGAATGGATAAACAACAAGGTCCTACTGTAGAGCACAGGGAACTATATTCAATATCCTATGATAAGCCATAATGGAAAAAAATGTGAAAAAGAAAGTATGTATATGTATAACTGAATCACTTTGTTATGCAGCAAAAATTAATACAACATTGCAAATCAACTACACTTCACTAAAAACATTAAAAGAAAAAAAAACATTTAAAAAGAAAAAAAAACTGAAACAGTGGGAGAATGGGTTACTGAGAACGACTGGGGGTGACCTAAAAGGACAAGTGAAATCCAGTATCTTCTGAGATAGATTTCATCCTGAAGGTGAAAGCCAAGCCACTGAAGAAAAGAGAGGAAGACAACATGAACTGTGGTGAAAAGCTAGTTGAGGCGGCAGGAGTGGTGCTGGGGAGCCTACATGCATTTTGTGAACGAGAAGGAGGTGTAAAGCATTCCAGGTCTCACCCATGGGGCCCCAACCAGACAGAGGTCCAGATACATGCAGACAATCCCTGGAAAACTCCAAGGAGGACACTCGAGAGGTACCTGAGAGACAGTGTTTGGAGAAATCAAACATCTCAGGGACTCTTGGATGTACTAAGCTCCAACACACACCCACCATTCTCTGCCTTTTTGTTCTGATGAGACACACTTAAGAGATCATGACACCTCACATGTGTACATAGTGTTTACAAGGTAAAAATAGTGCTGGGAAGGCTAGAAGTAAAGCCACCTCTTTCTCTTCCACTGAGGAAAGCACTTTAGAGCTGTAGAAAATTCTAGAGGATGCAAGGATGTTATTATGGAGACAACCTTGATTCTGCTCTGATTTATTAATATCATTGCAAGTATTGCAAATCACTGGCAGGTTTGATATTTTATTATTAATAATGAGCACCTGTGGCTCCCCTCACTTGTGTTTATGATCCCCCTCTTCACGGAGCATCCCAATCTACCAGTGTTTCTTAACACTGCAACTGGCAACCTGTACCATGTGTTGATTACCTGATTGTCAAGGGTATCCTGTGATGACAAAAAATATGCTGGTGTCTTGATGTAAAACCAGAGAACGAAATCAGATAATATAAAGAACAGAGGGAAAAACCTCCATGAAGGAAAATGGCAACTCAAGCTACATAATTGAACATCTTGTCTTCCCAGGCATAGGCAAGATAGTCCAAGCATGCAGGCACCAAGTGGCAGCATCTGAGCCCAGGTGTATCACCTGGATGAGTACCTGTGGTATGGGGAGAAGTGAATGTAACATCTGGATGAGCTTAACAAATTTTGGCAACAATCTATACTAAAATTTAAAAAAAAATCATAGGGCTGGGATTAGGGTAAAGTAAGAGAGGTGACTCAGGAAGGCACTCATCTGAGCTGACCCTACACTTGCCTGATCCAAGAGTGATGCCTCCTTAAATTTTGCATCCTAGGTGCCTCTCTTTCTTCACTCTGGTCCCAGTGCTGGTATATCTTTTCATTTCTATCAACTCTTCATCCTCAGGCTTGGAATAATTCCCTTACGCTTAACAAACTAGGGTGGGGCAGAGATGGTGGTGAGAAGAGGATTGTGATTGAAGATATTAAGCATAGAAAACAAATAGTATTCGGTGACTGATTGTGAAGTTGGATGCCAGTTAGGGAAAGGGAGCAGCCAGATCTCCTTG